TTGGCAAAGTATAGTAGTACTCTGTGTGTACTGAGATTATCTCTTGCTTGGATAACCGTCGCATTTTTTTGTCTTACTAGTCGGTGATGTATGGTACCTTCAGATATAACCATTCGTTCTTGTTTGGAAGGAGTAGCTGGCTGGGTGGTTGCTGCTGCAGGTTACTGCCAGCAATGTCATCGTCGTTGTGGATCCTAGACGCGTAGGTAGAGTTCACGCGCATCCRGAAACCGCATATTTGAAATGCATTCAGAAACTATCGAAAACGATGATCGTAAGTGAAAACGATTTTCAAAGTTACCGCCACCGCGTTTTGAAAACATTGACCGTTTATGTGTAAACACAAATGAGAAGATGTGGTTCGAAAATAGTCTTGATACGTGTAGAATCAATTCCTAAAAAATGATGAATAAAAAGGCCAATTTCACGGTACACCGTTTGCCTGCAGCCATCGCACCTAATCTTTGCAAGTCATCCTTACAACATGGCTCAATTCATTCAATCAAAGTTTTATTATGTCATTCACTTAACGTTGTAGCTAATCCGTGTGRTTTTTAAAGTCACCAAATTTTCTATAATCGGAATCAAATTTTAACCTACATATCTGCCAAGATAGTTGCTCACTCTTTCAGCGTCCAAAGACAGAAAGCAATGTCATCAGAGACATCAGTGTCAGCCAAGGTTTACTTAGATCTGCAGAGGATGATGTGACCACATCCCACTTGATCTCGTGGCTTTGAGTGATGTCCAAATCTAGTCYATTGATGGTTAAAGCCTGATGTAATAGACCATACATTAGATTTGACATCGAGTGATTGAGTACGAGTAGGAATCGAGTCAACAATTCAGCGTCATCATCAAGCACAACACAGGTCAGAAAAAACTTAGAGAACTTTAGATACTGAGACCGAAAGGGTACATGGGAAACTAGGGGTACAAAGTAGGGTATAATTTACTTATAAGTGCCCTATTTTCCGGCAATGAGTCCRCATAGATTAGTAACCTGATACTAAAATCGAGTAAAATCTCTTACCTTCGTTTTTGAAGAGAYAGAGCTTTTGCTGGTAATATCARCACCATTTGCTTGGACGCTGCGTAGCTTGTCACCACCYGCTCCATAGATCTTCACAGAACCCCAGACAAGACCTTTGGCCCCTGCGTAGCCTGCCTTTGACACCTTTATTTTGACTGAGTTCTGAAAATAGAAAAAAAGCTATACCATAGACTATATATAGAACAATGACACTTAAGTCGTCTAGCGTAATGACTTCATGTTTGTCCTGTCGAATTGCATCATGGTATATGCTGATGAATAAATCAAGATGGCGACGTCTAATAAAATCTACGGAAGACGAAGTTTCTTCCCGAAATTAACGCTGTCAAATGTTTTAATTTTGGAAAGAAACTTCATTAGAAGAGCATTAGATGAGATACTCACACATTRGMAAATATTGAAAAACCTGTCTTTGAAAAACAGCCGGAAACGTCAGAAAACMAGCAACATGGCTCAGTTTGTACTTTCTCAACCCCATGGTGTATCTCAGTCTCCAACRTCRTTAGGGGAATTGAGGTTTATAACAACATGAGGTTCTCTGAGAGAGAATTTATGCCGTRATATAAAAACAGAAATGTTGAAATACCTTTTCAGCAGAGATATCGTCAAGAAGATATTTTCCATTTTCAAAAGTATCTGAATAAAAAAAATACATTTACAAAATAGATTCCTTAAATGTCAACTTTGCCCTCGGTAAGTCTTACCTATGCTTTCACCATCATCCCAAAAGAGCTGTCCCTTTGCTGTGTGCTTGTCACATAGTGCAATTATYAACCCCATCTTGTTCTTACGACTATGGAGTCAGAGGGCAAATAGTGTACAGTTCGCAATGAATTGTTGCAGCTTAGGCCTTTTCTGAGATAAAAGTTTGCATTGCATTGTGGTCTATAATCTTGGACATAAATACTTCACAATTTTCCACTTAGGTCCCAGAAATGCTGTATCACTTGCATGTCATAATTATATTTCCCTACCCTACCCTCCTCCCACTTCAATATGGGAGGCTCGGGTTAACGAATGGTCAGAGTATGAAAAGAAAGCCACACAACACTGTATGAGAAGGAAGGGGCCACGAGGAAGGTTGTATCGACGAATAATGTGAGCAATGTCGTGCGCAAACAAAATTATCAACATTTATGTCCAAGATTAATGTAGATTTGGTACAAACATCTTTTGTTCATGCTGCCAAATATGGTGTTGTTTCTACTGAAGCTAGACCACAATGCACTATTTGTATTTCAGAAAAGGTCTTTTGCTGTAGATTATTTGCTCACTAAAGATCCTTCATTTACGCACTGACCTAAACATGGTATTATTGGCTGGTTCCTGGGTAGGAATCACGTGACCACCACGCACATGTAGGTTAATATGGTCTAGAGGCGCGTCCAATGTTGAACGCTCTTTACGATGAGACGATTCTTGACCCTTAATAAAAAATACCTCCTCGCAAAAATTTAATTTCACTGATAAAGAGGTGCGTAGTTCACAGTGCTAACTTGACATTGTCATTGAGACAGGACTGTATTTCTAGATAGCTGTGATCGATTGTCAACATTCCGCTGAGTATTACAAACTAAAATTTGGCGCTTTTTCTGAATACCTATCAGGCAACGTCAAAAAGCACTCCTCTTGCCCTCGTGTTTCTCATAGCGCCTTAATAATCCAAGAGCGAATGCGTGCATTCTAGTTCTTCATTACCTATTTTCATAAGACGTTATGAAGAATCTAAAATCACGCTGCTCTAACTAGTTTTTCTCCACTGAGCATGCGCACTTTTAAGACTCATATAATAAATAGTAAATTCCATTTGAAGGCACGTGACACTTTACCGTATAGTAGTCATACCAACGCGCATCGGGGAAGTAGGCCTCYACGCTTGTTTTACCCTAAAATATATAACAAGTTTACATAGATACTTTTTATATTTCGAAGGCACAAAGACAAGACTTCATAATTGAATTTATTATTATTTGCTATTAGTATTTGAGAAAGTACGAACAAGAATACTACTCCGATTCTAGCATTTTTTATCCTTCCTCAATAYGCACCCTTGATTGGCAGCAGAGAACAAGCTGCTTTTTTWGGAAGGAAAATGCTTGCTCTCATTTAATAAAAAAAATCTTTGCACGCTTTTAAAAACTGACTACAGAATTTATGACTAAGGACAACCATTAAATGCTTACCTTATCAAGAACTGGTGATATCAACAGAGCTGGTCCCCATAGAAACTGTCGATCAATGTCCCAAGWTGTCTTATCGGATGTAAACCTATGACAAAATACAGCAAATTCAAAATGGTTTACATTATCAAAGACAACTTAACGAATCAAAAAAAAATATTAATATCTACTCATAGCACTGGGCGAAAAAAAAAAAGCTTTGCATGTAAACTTACTCTGCCATCAATGACCTCACAACAGTAGCCCCAGACTTCCTCGACTCATAGAACAACGTGTACAAATATGGTAGCAGTGTATAGCGCGTGMGCAGAACTTTACGTGCGGATTTCGCGAAGTCTGGGCCAAATGCGGCAGGATCTTGTGCCTGAAAATGTAATAACGAATACCATATAATCATTTTTTTAGGGGGGGGTGATTTTTTTTTTTGGGGGGGGGGGGATTTTGAACTGCCAACAGATAATAAATCACCTTATCCTTATCAACTTACATTATTACCAAAGCCATTATGGTTCCTACTGAAAGGATAAAACGCACCAAGCTGCATCCATCGTTCGCACATCTCTGCAGAAGGGTGRTCAAAAAACCCACAAATATCGGCTCCAACCTACAGCGGTGAAGTATGGTTAGCCCTAGTCGTGCTGCTTGGGAGGTTAAAAAAAACTCTTGGGATAACCTTTGAATTAGTATGAAAAAGTTCTAGGAAATAGGTCACCTCATTCCACCCGCGATGGGAAGAGAAATGCTAAAGATAATCTCATTTTGTTAATTTGCAGAAAATAAAATTCATTTYAGATAAACTTACGTAAGGTATGCCAAAAAAGTTGAATTCCAACATTCCTGTATAAAGTATAAAAATAAGATTCATAAAAAACACAGTTTGATTTAGTTTTCATGAATGTCGAGTCCTTGAACACTAAGCGTCCATTTTGAATTTTTGTTTCCGTCGATCCGATCTCCTAACTTCACCCATAGCTTCTCCCTCAAAACAGAACGACTTCTGAACGTTACTATTTTTAATTTCGCTTTGTTTTTTGATGGAAGATTCTTGAACTGAGTAGTATGTTGGGAAGTCTTGGAGTTTTTATTCATGTTGCWTTGCCATTTGACTGATGGGGCTCGCATTATTCAGTACAATCGCAATAATTACACACTATGTTTTTTATYATCCCATTACTGACCAATAATAGAAGCATGGAGCTGGTCCCATCGAGCGACATTATCACCAAGCCAGTGACCCGCGTATTTTCCGCTGCTGGCGAACGTCGAACGAGAAAGTACTAAACTTCGTTTATTTAACATTTCTTTGAGGATTCTATAACAAAAAGGGTAGATCCTGAGCMCAATTTATGGTATTAGTTATACAGGAAAATATATAGCAATGAAATCTAAAAGACAAATGGACAACCAGGTAATATCCCAATTGACCTTGGGGTATATTTAAAAAAAGCTCATCGATCGATCAATAAAAAAAGTATAATATTTACGGCAAATGTAATAGTGTTCATCACTATGATCCGCTCCTTCCCCTCCCCCCCTTTCCCCACTCCATTTCTCTCTCTTCTTACGAATGGTTTATTACACATAAGACCTTTAGTGAATTAACCAATCATAATCCAGTATGCACCCAGACCATAATATGTTCAAGTAGAACTGTATATTCAAAGTGATACTGACTCATCGGTGACGATGGACTGCTTCCATCCATACAGACTGTGAAGATCATAGTGAAGCTTGTTACCAGCATGCTTTGCGCTCATACATAACGTTTTATCGGCAAGGACCGGTCCATATACACCTATAATAAATAACAATATGATGAACTATACAGCCTTTTGCAAAAATTATGAGAATTGTCTAAATATCTAAATATCATAATATCCATATCCATATATTGTCCGGAACACGCGGGTTTGCTAGAATAATTCATTGTTGACATCGAGAAAATGTTCAGAACTACGGATAAGTCTGTCGCCAAAAAAAAAAAACTAAACTACAAAGACAAGGGACAAAGGGCATCGCCCGGGATTACCTATCATGCACTTGATATTATGATATATAGATATTTCAACAATTCTCATAATTTTTGCAAAAGGCTGTATATAAGCAAATATCTTTTTTATATAAAATATCAATAGTCAACAGTTTTCACAGAATCACGATTATAACTAACAATAATCCACTTTTCTCCAATGCTCTGTGTTAGACTCATTTGTGCGCAAAATATTCCTAATTATGGGAATAAAAGTGTTAGATTTCAAATCAACTCTTCAAATTCTCTCTTCAAATTCCATGCGTTTTCACAGGCTGTCAATAAAACAAAAGAATATGTTACTTGGTTTTGAGGCTAACACAGAGCAAACCAGAACTCGAAATTGGAGTATTGGAGTATTGCACAGTTGTTTCGGTCAAAAGTAGAGTATAAACACTAAAAAAGAGACCTTTTTCATCACTATTTATGAAGGAATACTTTGTACTATTCTCRATACCAGTTATTTCCTTACTTTTAGGCTTGTAGGGAGGGTAGTCCCASTTAGTTTTAGGACAACCATTAACCGCACCAGGAACAAAGTTCGCAGGCTCATTCATGTCCTAGTGAAACAAAAACCAGACTATTAAAGTGCTACTTGCATGAAAATGGTCTTATTTCAAAACGTCAAGCAATACAAATAAATGACTCATATATATATATATATATATCTATTAAAAACAATTGCGGGAAAATATTTGTTTTGGAATAATCCCACATCAGAGAAATTTTGATTCAAAAGATGGAAGAACAAAAGGATGGACTAAATGATGTCATCTACTCCAACATTGTTTGCCCAAATTATTAAGGATTTGTATCAATATCTTCTTGAAATCTGTTGCTTCATGATTATTAGACCCATATGGATAGGTCTATTTGATTTCCAAGTCTTTTCTAATGTTTCGCAATTTTCGTCCAAGTAGCCCTTTAACATACAACATCTTATGTTCATATAGTATTAGCCAATCATGGCTTGAGATTTCCAGTGAGAATTCTAAACCAGTAGCTATGGTACTTACAATCCACAAAGCGTCAAATTCTATTTGTTTGTGAAACTCCTTTATCAGGTCACCCCAGTACTCTTTAGCACGCTGATGAAAGTAATCTGGGAAGGTGGCCCATTGCCGATAAAGCTGACAAAAATAATGGATCAGAATAATAAAGTATAGTTTAAAACACGATCTCTTGGAGAAATTTCCGTAAAAATAAGTTTTGAGATAAATGGGGCAAACTGATCATGCGCGAATCACTTTACAAAGCATTCTTATTATCCCACATTGAATACGCATAAAGTAAAATAGATTCGCTGTTGGCTGTTCAAAGCAATCGGTTGACACCCTGCATTGGTCAATGATCAGGTATCAAACCTGAGACCTTTGCTGGGGTCATGGACCTTTATATCTGATAAAGGTCACCCTCATTAGTATTCTTTATATAAAGAATACTAATAAGGAGTGTTTTGTCAGATATAAAGGTCCATGCATGTAACCAAGTAGTCTCATTCCATTGGCCTGATAACACATTAATTATGTATGAGTTTTCGAAGAGTATTCAATGTGGGATGACAAGAGTGCTTTGTAAAGTGATTCGCGCATGATCAGTTTGCCCCATTTATCTCTGAACATATTTGTACGGCAATTTCTCCAATAATTTTAACGGATTTGAGTTCCAAATTACTGTTGGAGTTTTTTAAGCCGTTTAAAACACTCTCTCTTCGTGTTTTAAACTATACAACATACACAATGTAAATATGCTTAGTTATAGACCCCTTGCAGCTCGTGGGAATGCATTTCCATCTGGGGGAAAAAACAACGGATTATTATTTTCAAGAGGGCAAAAATCGTTTCATTGGTCCACCAGAAGAAGCCGCTTTGACGTAATATACTAGCGGTCTATGACCCACACTAAAACACAAGAAAAAGCAAAAGAAAGGAATTTTGTACTTGTGAACCGATGAAAACATAAGCACAAGCAGAAACATAAGAAAATGAAAACGTTTCCACTGCCTTGTGTTTTYCTGTCTGGCTATGTTAAATAATTATCACTGTGAACCACCAAAACACAAGCATAAGCGCATCCTTATGTCAAGTATGGACCAGGTTTCTGCCTGTGCTTATCTCGTAGTGTGAATTGCCCATAATTATACGTTCCTATTTCATTGTTATTCATTATATTGGTTGATGTATTAATATTATCTTAGTTATTCAACTTTCCATCTAAACTTGCAATCTTACTCGAGTTTGTTCATCCCAAGGTAAGCTACCATTCACGGTGACGTTTTCAAAAGTTGGCCAGACCTTAAAAACAGTATATTTAAATTCGAATCAGCACTTATACTATCAACAGTTGTAGCACTTCATAAATAAAAATGACAGCAGCAAGTGTTGAAGCACTATTTTTAGCAAAGGGTAGAGTATGGTGGTTGATAAGTGCTATAGCTTTACCTTTCCAAACAGCGTGTTTCCATCGTTGTCTTTCACCCATATATCCATCGTATTTCCCATGTCATAAGGTTTGTATGGCTTAGTCTCATTAGCACCAATCGCTGGATCCTATATGGTTATCGAATGACACTCAGTGACGTAATCGCATTCAATATTCCAATATCTCGCCTGAAGCATCACAAAATCACATGCAAAATCTAAAAATTTCCCGCACTACCACTTCAGAATTGCAAGTAAAATTTGAAAATCGCCCGCAGCACTTCCGTGAAAACATGAAAAAGTTTCCGTTAACCAAAATATTTCATAATCGTTTGTAACACTTTAAAATCTCTTGCACTAATTTCAGACTTAAAACTACAGATGGTTTTTGCATGTCCCGTAAGGCACCATATGCTGGGTTCAAGGATGCACGTACAAAATAAGTAACTCACCAGTATAATAATGTACCTCAAGCCGTCTTTCTTAACTGATCGAACAAACTCGGGCAAACCAGCATAGCTGTTTTGATCGTAGGTGAAGTCAAGTTGACGAACCATGTAATCTATGTCGCCATATTGGACATCCTGAAACCAAACAATATTGCGTGATAAAATTCAACACCGGGAGAACTAGGTACAAATTTATAAATGCAAATTCGTAGGGCTTTTTCCCGAGTAAAAAAAGGCCCTGGGATCGGCCATTGACAGGTGACCGGACGATGAAAGGGATAGCTCGGTCTGTCATTTTTAAAAATGGCGAGCAAATAAAGCCCTGCGAACGACGTTGCCTTCAATGTCGTCGGTGACTAGCGGTGAAATGATTAGTGAGAATAATTGAGGGAAACGAACTCACCCTTAAATTACAATCACTTACCTGCGGTATGTCATATTTGCGCATGCCTTCAACGAGTTCTTTAACCCTTTTTAGACTATTATATCCCCATCGGCTTAACTGGAATCCAAGAGACCAGTACGGTGGGATCAGCGGTCGCCCAATTGACTGAAAAGATATCAGAAAACTTATGRTTAGAGATACAAGGGTTGGAGGAGATGGAAGGGAGAAGAATGAACGGAACGACAAGAACAGAGAAAGAAAAGAGGATAGGGAGAAAGCAGGCATGAGGAAGAGAAAGAATTGTGGATAAATGAAACGAATTAAGAGAGATATGGAAGTGGAGAGTCGAAGGAAACAACGAGCCGTTGTTCGCAGTTCGCAAGGCTAGTGTTGTCTTGCGAGCATTTCTAGCGAAGTGCAAGAAATCATGATATTCACCTCAGTGTACTGGCTGACAACGGCTTCTGGTGTTGGTCCAAGAAACAAATAGAAGTCGAGAATACCTCCAATGGTGCGGTACGTAATAGCTGGCAGAGGTTGAAGCACCATTTCTGAAATGCAGTTCAGATAAAAGTAATATTAATGATGATCTGACACCGCATGAGGTCCATTTTCGATTCCCTACCCGAGTATAGATGCAAATACAGCAAAACTTCAATAATCGCTCCCACACATCCCATAATGCATTGCACCGGAACCGCACAGCATTATAAGGGAAAACCTGTACGGGTTTGTTTAACTGTCAATTCTTACCCATAGCGTTACTGTTCAATAGAAAGACACCATGAGCTTTCCCATCTTCTTCAAGACACATGTGAAATACATGATGACCGTACGCATTACCACCATTCTACAAAGCAAGCAATAATATAACTTCATCCATTAAAATATTTAATGTTTTGTGAGAAGATCGAGTGCATAACCGTATGTAATTTGCTAGCGAGGACCAACAACTAAGTACTTCTTTTCCTATTTCAGGCTATCCATATTCATACATCTTCTAAATCACTTCACAGAATCAAAAACAAATTACGCATGTGTGCGCACGCATACGCAATGTACGTAAATATACGCAAGCTAGATCTATATAAGATGCATAAATGACTCAGAGATTATTTCCAATATGCCAATGACTTATCTACGTTCAGGTCTAGCCATTCAGGGTTTTCAACACATTTTAGCACAATTTCTGGGGAAGCTGAAAATTTTTATTTGTTTGAAAGCATAGAAGACTTACAAATGGGAACTGATCTCTCGTGAATATTGGCCATGTTTTCCAGTTCATGTCATGTCGAAACGAAGGATGTTCTTGTTCACCAATACCATACACATTGCTTGACGCTGTTTTGGTTGAGATTTGAAGAAACTGGTCGCTGAATACAAACAATCCAACGGAGGAATCCCATCTATTGAAAGACAATTAGCAGTGTTTATTACACGAGCAAATTTTCCTTTCCTATTTACTATAATTAACAATAAAAAATAGTTCTCACAGTACAGCTTTGGTGTCTTTTCTGATTATCTGCATGGCAAAAGGCTTCTTTTTGACAAACTTTACTTCGTAGTTCATACTAGATGCTTTTTCATTGGCTTTCGGCATCTTGATTGGCACTTCGTATCTTTCCGTATTTGCGTCATAAAACTGATTCAACATGAGAAAAAGCAAGTTAACAATGGATTAAAACTCAGGCAATGAACTCAGTTAATTACAAAATGCTTTGACAATTAAAATACAAAATGAACGACTTTTCTTCCATGCAGCATTATGCCCACCTACTTTGATTGAACATCACGTCATGATAAATGCTTTCGTTTTACGCAGAGATGCAAAAAGCACATCACTTTGAGAAAAAAATTCCTATCACCGACAATAAAGTTTAGTTTTACCGAAAACCACAATTCCCAGCGGTCTTAAAAGAACATATAAAAACAATCATTTTTCTTTGCCTCTAATTTCGTTCTTATATCGACATCTCATGTCATAAGCCCGCCAACTTCATTAGTGTGTGCGTCGCATTGCCCCTTTCATTACGATTATGCTTGCGTCATAGTGAAATCAAGGCTTAACAGACCAAGTTTTTTTGTCAGGGTGATAATTATGTACCTTAAAACGAATTCGATTTTCCGTCTGAAACTCAATTTCAAGTACAACGTCATCGATGTCATTGCCATATAAGGAGGAGTAGGGAATACGTTTCAAATTTAACTTATATCCAAGGCYTGTTGTATTTTGTTGTGGGTCTCCTTTCAGCTCGTATCCAGCTTGATARCCTTGTTTATAGAAGCATGCAGGTGCTCCCTGGAAATACATTAAAAATAATTAATATTATTGTATACAAAAAGTGCCAGGAATAAATCTCCAATCATTCTTTGTTGTGTATTGCCTAATGGCCGAGAAGCCGCATTGTCTATAGCAAGAAAGATATCACGCGCGCGCGCACATTTCCAAAGCTTTTCTGTGTCATGCCGAATGATGAGTAAAGAGTCTGACATAAGCTAGTAGTGATTTTCTTTTATAAAACCCCAGTAGCAGTTATTGTTATTATTAAATTTAAAGTGATACACGAACTATTCCCGARCGAAAYAGCTTTAATTTGTACTGCAACGTAAAAACAGTTTCAAAGTAAAATCTACTTTCGTAGACTTGCATGAAGACGTTACCAGTAAGTGCTGTGGGCGCGTTGCGTGACAGAAACTTTATACCACGAATGATTTAGCTGAAGACTACATCAGTAACAATTGCCAATTGGCATGTACAAATAGAGATTAAACTATTTAAGAAACTATTCTATGCTGAGATTATGAGATTGTTTTTAAGAAAAGCAATAATGCAAGCGTGCTTGCTTCTRAAAAYTTCAAACAWTCTTGTTAAATTTGTTGGAGATGTTTTTGTCATGTTTACTTTCAGTGTTTTTTAGGTTGAACGGTAATCATAACATGAAATGCAACTGCAAACATACTTGAGATCACAGCTACATGGCATTGATTCGTCTCTTGATACACTCGGGAAAGAATCAAAACTCTGCGCATTTTATCTCGGCGAAACAAACTAACTAGATGCGCGGYTGTTTTGATTGCGAAATGCGTGAATTGATGAGCAACGAACTCCGAATTTTTAAGAGAATTAGTTTCTAATCATCTGGAAATTTCATTGTCTATGCAGAATTTTATCTATGGAAAACTACCAGTTAATTTTCAACAGGTAGCCGCTATCCCCAAAAACAAGACAGCCAAATGTAACAACTGCTGCGTACTATACATATGTGCACAAATAAAAATGAAAGAGCTTTAACCGCAAACATCACAACTGGGTCACTAACCTTGGTTTTTGAAGGGAGCCACTGGCATCCACGCGCTTCACATAACGTCTGATTTCCACCCTCTGGATAGCAGTCGAAACGTTCTGCCTCGTTTGATTCTGCATCAACTTGTGCAAGCAAAATACAAGCCATTATTAGTGTGAGCGCTTTCATCGTTAGTGCCCTCATTCCCTGTTTATTATTAAACACAGGAAGACCATGAAGATTTTAGATCTCGTTAAACTAAACGCTCTTAGAGTGTTTACTCGGGCAATGTTTGAGTATAGGTTTCATGATTCATGGTTTCGTTATGCTTTCTATTCAAAATGGCGTTGCTCCACATTGGCTATTGGTTAGAAAGCGCTCTTTAATACAAGAGATCACACGAATGGATGCTTTACGCGTCGTGTACCAACATGGCACTATACATATCAAATGTCTCCATATGTCGAAAAATGTCATAAAAATTCTCAGAATTTTTCTTGGTATGAGTATTAGAACTTTGTTTTATTTAGTGTAAATAATTCAGGTTAAGAAAATATATAAAATTCCATGCTTTTTTTTAAATTTCAATCCAAAGTATTGTTGTGTGGCCGAATTCTACTTCTAATACTTGAAACATAGTTCGGCATTACGACCAATAAAATTGTTGGATGGAAATGCTGGATTTTAGAGATCAATGATGTTATTGGCTCAGCAAGCATACATATTGTGCCCATTGCGCTTTAATAGTCCTTTTGCATGAAACGGTCACTTTTTGCTACTACCATTTTATGCAAAAAGCCTATTCCATTTTTTTTTATTTTGTGTTATATTTTTTTATTTTGTGTTTTATTTTTTTTTTTTTTAATCCTACTATCACACTTTAATGGTCCAGTTTTGTTTCACAGGTTTTTAAAATGACTTGACTCTATTTCTTAAGCACTATCAAGTAGAAAATAGTTAAACACATTGGAGTTTTTTCGTGTTTTTACAGTTCCTCTCGGGCCATTCATTTGACTTCTGAGGGGACGGGCCGTAGCTGGAAGATCTAGATGGTGCAAGAAATGTTTCTTTCTACTTACACATAATGCAAAAAAAATAATGGATTAAAGAGAAGGAGGATTTGTAGGACTTCAATACTTTGAGAATGCAGGAATTTTTTTCACAGTCTTCTATTCCCCCAACCCCCTCAAAGTTCTAATGGATCGCCCTTGACTTTTCAGCCCATAAAAGCGACGCTTCCTAATACACTATACTTTGTTCTATTCAGGTAAAAGTCTCTAAAAGTAATCTAAAGAGCTACTTTCCCGGGACTCAAGTACAGTACAGCCGTACAATGGTCTCAACGGACGCAGAACGTCTTAAATCTACAGGTTCATTTTAGTTATTTGGTTTGTTGAGCAAACCCACTCTTCTCTAGCTAGACGGTTTGCATGACAAAAAAGCTATTTTAAAAATGCACATTCAGAGCAGTTGTCAGGGTTGCTTAACCTTGGTCACTGACGAAAAACAATTGGCGTCGCTTGGTAATTGGCTTGGTACTGGTGTACAAACTGATCCAGGCTGTTTAAAGTCTTAAAAGGTAAGATTTCACTTATAAAATGCCAAGTTAGCCAGCAATCAGAAATATACGTTTTCAAAACCTATGAATTTTCTATAAATAAACATTTCTTTCCTTTAGAGCAAAATAGCAAAACCATGATTGATTGTCTTACTTAGTCCAGTTTAAAAGTATTTCTATATATTAGAAGTTGACAAATGATGAGCAAAATACTGCGATGGTCTTTTCCCTGTTAGTTTATAGCCTAAGGTCTCAGTTTAGTTCTGGAAACCGTCCCGAAAACCGTCGCAAATAATGCCAATGCCTTAAACGATCATGGTGTAATCTGAGCGCCTTTGCATTTACGGCATAAAATATTCGTGGGACTTCGTTTTCAGGGTCTTAGATCCTCGATTTTCGGCAACCCATCGCCAACTTCATCAGGAGAGATGATGCCCATAAAATGTGTTTTTTCCCTCTCTTATTATCTAAACGAGCTTCCAAACTCCAAAATAAACCTCTACGAGTAAAATGAGTGTGTGAAAACTTACATAACGTCGCGCCGAAATTCGTTGCACTTAGAGACATTGCGAACTTGAACCGACTGCCGGCCACGCAACAACGAAATCCTAAATGGCCGGCAGCCCATAAAATAACAGATTTCTCTTTTATTATTCTTATTTAAAGAGTTAAAAGCAAAATAATCAACATTTCTGAAACTTTCATGGTACTGTAGAGACATTTCTCTATTCGAGAAAAATCTCAACCAACATGGCGGCCTGTCGGTCACGCAACATCAAAATCCTAAATGGCCAGCAGCTCATAAAATAACAGATTTCTCTTTTATTATTCTTATTTAAAGAGTTAAAAGCAAAATAATCAACATTTCTGAAACTTTCATGGTACTGTAGAGACATTTCTCTATTCGAGAAAAATCTCAACCAACATGGCGGCCTGTCGGTCACGCAACATCAAAATCCTAAA